AATTGTACCAGCTAATGTGCATGAACCGTCTGGAGCAGAGACAGGAGAGGAGGTTTCAGGTGTAGATGATGAAGGTTAGTTTTCCAGCAACCTTATCAGGCATTGATTAAGTGTCTTGTGAAGAAGTGTAAAAGTAAGCTTCAGCATTAAGTATTTGTGGTGAACTGCATATAGTATTCTTCTGAATGCATTCCAGTCCATCAGTGTTCTAATTGTGTAAAAAATTCTATTATAATTTTGTAAAAGAATTTTTTCTTTTGTTTTTTGCTTCCTTTTAGGTGAAATCAAATCTGTTTATGTGCGAAATTTGCCGCCTACTGTTTCTGAATCTGAAATAGAGGGGGAGTTTCGGCAGTTTGGTAAAATCAGGCCGGACGGTGTAGTCATTCGGGGTCGCAAGGTTTCGCTCTCGTCCTTTCTAACTGCAAAATTCAAAGTAGATTGCTGGCTCTTGTTTATTGTGCTGAAATGTGTTGATATACAGGATTTAGGTGTTTGCTATGCATTTGTCGAATTTGAAGACATGGATGGTGTACACAGTGCGGTCAAGGTAAGTAGTTGCATTGGATCGTTATTCATATAATATTAAAAGCAAATCTGTCATTTTTCTATTTTGGTGTTTCTGAACCCGGACTTGTGTGTTAACGCTTGATTGGTATGCAGTTTGACCACTTCACTGGGACTCGTTGAACTGGTGGTTCAACCTATGGATAATTAACCTATTGGCCAATAATTGTTGTTGTGATGCATGCTCAATTTAGCTAAGTGTTTAAAAATGTGGAGAATGCATGACAGTAAGTTATAGGCAGCAGGTTGAAAGTATGCATAGTGCACTAATCGTTATTTATTGCTTTTAGCTTGTATTGAGAAACAAGAGACAGTGTTGTTGTCACTATTTTTATTGGATGAAGTGGCCTTGTTTTAATTGAATGCTTATATGGTTAACTTCATTGGTTCAGTCAAAGATCTAAAGAACTTGAAATTTATGGGTGAAAAGTAATGCTTCGTATTATCAACTTTAAATCTATTTATGATTGGAGGAAGAAACAATACTGAGAATTCTGAGCTCATATGGTCTTAAAATGGTGCATCCTTTTAAAATTTCTGTTACATTACAAAATGTATTTATAAAGATTTTATTGCACTAGGGAACTGAATTGAGTAAGCCTAATTGTTGTCTTTAATTGGTTCTGTGTTGAGGATGGTTTATATGAGAGTCAGGTTGCGTCAAGTTTGGGTTGGCTTGGGTTGGCTTGGGATTGAGGTTAATTAGGATTTCTAATCGTTGAATTTTTGGTCGAAACAATGTTGGATCAAGTCACTTTTTGGGTGGGTGTGTGACTTTTTAAGATTTTCTTTTCTTTAAGGTGCTCATGAGAATTGTAAGTTTCAGATGTTTAATGGGTAATTTTCTGTTTTCCATGCAATGAGGAGATTGCTATTTTCTTGTAATTGACCATATAATTTGTGGACATATGACTTAGATCATTTGACCTATATTTTGTGTAGGCCGGGAGTGCACAGATTGCTGGGCGACAAGTGTATATTGAAGAACGGAGACCGAACAGCAACATTCCATCCCGAGCAAGTAAGCCTTGCATATAAGTCTCAGTGTCACTATTATTTATAAATATCCTCTTTATTCTTCAGTTATTAGTGATCGACACTTCTCAAGCAGGACGAGGCAGAGGGAGAGGTAGCTACCAAACAGAGGTTTCAAGGGGGCGATTTGGCGGGAGAAATTTTAGCAGGGGAAGTGGGCAGAATGGAGTGGACAGAGAATACAACAAGCCAAGAGGGAACGGTTTCTATAAGCCAAGTTCTCGACAAGACAGAGGTGTGTTGGGGCAACAGAATTCGAGGAACGGGCAAAGCCTACAAGAGTAGAGAAGCTTAGCAAAGGGAGCACAAAATTTTGAGGCTGAACTTTTTGAACTTATCACATTCAATTCCATCAATTTTTATGACCATAAATTAATACTGATAGAAGCCAATTTTACTGTTTATGGGAGGAAAAGAATGGTACCAAACACGGCTTTTGCTAATTTATGAGGTATGAGTCTGCAATTCAAGTTTAAACTCCGACATTTCGGAGTGAAATTTATTGACAATTACCTGGTCTTTGCGCTAAATTTTCTGTATGAGTCCAAGTTCTGTACTCGGCGACGTCATCTGAAATATGAGGTGCGGTATTTGACTTGAAATTCTATTTTATGCCTCATTGAGTGATTAGGTTCCTATAAAATGTGACATTATTGAATGTGTCCTCAAGATATAGGTACTATGCCGAGGATACGTCTGCAGTTGAAAAGGCGGTAATGAGTACATTTTTTTACCCTGCATAGCGATCACACTGTTAAAATCTACTTGATTCGAGTGTATATTGATTAATTTCTTGTTTCTGTCATGACTCTGTTTATATTATTCCAATGTTTGCTCTGATCCTGATAAAAAAAAAATTTGTGCTTTTTATAGAATAAAACATGATGCTGATCGATTGGCATCTCTCATCATATATTAGTGGTTACTGTAAAAAGATGTTCTTCATTTTTAACTAAGGAATGACCTGAAGACTGATGGAACGAGCTTTTACGATTTGCTGTTGCGTTGGACCTGTTGACAAGGCTAAGACGATTGCACATTCGAATTGAAGTCGACATACTGACTCAAGTTATTCCTTTCTGAACCGGATAGATTCGCATCCGATAGAGGTTCCTTCCGAATTTCTAATGAGATAAAATTGGTGCCGGAAAAGGTCGGCAATGATAACCCGAGGTCTCGATGAAGGCGCCGTCAATCAATCAATCCGGGGGTTGAGCCAAATCAAGACATGTCTCATGATATGTATCACCAAAAAGAACACAGAGGACCTTGCAATTTGAGATCACGAGACAATAGAACTGCCGAGAATGTCATTTCCAGCAAGTCCCCCCAAAAGGTTTTGCATTCAAAAATCGAATTGAATGAAATATCGGTTGAAGACCAATAAATTGTCAGTTTTGTCTTTAATATTTTCATGTATAATTAAGAAAAATATATGATTAACATAATTTTTTTTTGTTAGGGAGTATCTTCGTATTGACCATATATGCCCATGGCAACATAATTTTTTTTATTTTTTTATATCAATTGGTTTCTCGAGCTATTTGTGCAATCGAGTAAGCTCCATCGTGTTTGACAATGCCTTCGTCCCACACACGTCGCATCGCGTAATTACTAGACACACATAAGTCTTTCTTCCCTACTAACTTTTGATATTAAAAAATATGTGGAGTATTCATATACCCGCTCATTAAGATAGTTAAAATATTACCTGCACGTATTTCCTAACTTTTAATAAATTGTCCATATTTCTTTTGGTCGAAATAGATTGTCCATATTTAAATAATCGAATTTATTAGTACCCACACACTGCCCAATAATCTAATTATATTTCATAAATATGACCTCATATGCAAGCAGGAAAAAATAATATGCTTTTAATCAGTAGAAGATCCACGCGATCTCACCTTTGAAAAGATTACTTTTATTTTTTTACTCCAAAGAAAATAACAAATATAAATGGGGCCTCTTTCTTTGAACAATGCCTATTGGTTTTTTACTTAAAGTTTTTCTTTTTTATTTATTCAGATACACTATAAATTAATTTATGCCTGTTTATCACATAATTGTGTTAAACAGATGTACCAATCTTCCTTACAAACTTATACCGTATGCGTATATCGAATTTATAATCTATTTTCAATTTTAGGGTACCGGAAATAATACACGGATTATTCTAATTTGTTGAGCATCAGCATTTACTTATTTAAGATGGTGAAAGCACCACCCAGCACAATCACATCTATTATACTAGAAATGTCATTAAAACGTAATAAAATTACAGGATCCGTGCACTATAAGTCTTAAAACTTGTCATGAAAGTGCAATTAAGTCCTAAAACTTTCAATAAGTACAATTAAGTCCCAAAATCTATCAAATTGATGCAATCAAGTCATTTTATTAACACCGTCAATTTGTCTAACTGAAGATGCTGAAGTGGCATTTTAAAATTAATTTCTCTCTCCTATAAATCTTATTTATATAATATTAAAAAAATTAAAAATAAGCTAAAATAATTAAACTAAACTGGACAAAAAAAAAGATAAAAAGAGGGTAGGGACTTGTCGATGGGGGCTGCTGTCACCACCCATTGCCAAAGGGGCCTATGACGGGCGAGGGTGGCCAGCCCTCACTGGCCCCAAGTAAGCCTTAGTTGGCCCTCGCCAAGGGCCAGCGACCTTCGCCAGCCCCTTCAACAATGGGTGGTGGCAGGGCTGGCAAAGGTCGCCGCCGGCGATGGTGCCCAGCCATGAGTCCTTGCCCTTTTCTTTCTTTCTTTTTTTCCAGTTTTTAAAATTGTTATAGTTTGTTTAGTGTAATTTAAATAAGATGGAATGAAATATTTTTTAAAAATGTCACATAGGAAAGCAAAATTAATTTAAAAATGCCATGTTCATCGTTTATGGTAGACAAAATGACGATGTTAACGAAAAGACTCGATTGCACTAATTTGACAAGTTTTAGGATTTGATTACACTCTTTGAAAGTTTCAGAATTCAATTGCACTTTCACGATAAATTTTAATGTACCACACATGTCCCTAAAATTACTCATCCAATAATATAATTATATCGCCTTCATACGCTATTTAAGTATTTTTCTCACCATATTTAAATTTTTTTATTTCTTACATACATACTTTTTATCTGGCACACAAATATTTGTGCATGAAGTAAAGGGTGTTATTCTCCAAACTCTAATTAAGTTCAATTACATTATTTTGGAACACATTCGACTTGTAAATCTAATTCCTGTGGTCATAAAATGTCATCAAAACCTCTCTGTACTAACTAACGAGGAAGTTTGACAAGATCCCAAATGATGGATAGTTTAGACAACGAGGAGGGTACACAAAAATAGGCAAAACCATCTCCTAAGCTTGCGCTAATGTTTCAACACAGCTGTTTTCGTTTCTGTCCTTAATATCCTCTTTGCCGACTTCCGAGCAAATTTTTCCCTCGGCATCTGACCCTTGTTCTTTAGATGCGAACCCCGCTCTCGTCGTCCTTCTTCCAGGCGGCGGCGAGCAGAGGACCAGCCCCGACCTCCATCGCCGTCGATAAGATCTCTTGGTTTCGGTATTGGCAATGTCGTCGATAATCCTAAATCCCTTCCAATTGTTAGAGCTGAACATCATCTCCGCGCAGGACCTCGCGATGGTCGCGCGCACCATGCGCACGTACGCGGTCGTGTGGGTCCACCCTGACCGGAAGCTATCGACCCGGGTTGATTCCCACGGCCGGAACAGCCCCACGTGGAACGACAAGTTTGTGTTCCGCGTTGATGAGGAGTTCCTCCAGTCCGACACGTCCGGGGTCATGATCGAGATCTACGCCGTGCATTGGTTCAGGGACGTGCTCGTGGGCACGGTGCGGGTCCTCGTGGGCAACCTCGTGACCCCGCCCTCACGCCCGTTCCGCCACCAACACCACATAGGGATGCGCTTCGTGGCGCTCCAGGTACGCCGTCCCTCGGGGCGGCCTCAGGGCATATTGAACATCGGCGTCGCGGTGCTTGACAGCTCGATGCGGAGCATGCCGCTGTATAAGCAGCTCGAGGCCTCCGCCGTTGGTTACCTCGACCTAATGGGCGAGCAAGATCCGTATCATCACCATAACAACAACAATCTTTTGCCTTCTAATCATCATCAACAACAGCAGCAGCAGCAGCAGCAACAAGAAGTACCTAAACCCAATGCCAAGCCGGAACTTAGGCGAACCAAGAGCGACACAAGTTCGATGATGGGCGCAGGACAAGTTAAGACATTGAAAAGAAAGGTGTCGTTCCGCAATAGGCCCCACTCCGTCATCAATGGCTCGGAGGACGGGTCGCCGACCCAAGAGAGGAGGAAGAAGAAGAAGGAATCGAACTCCAGATCTAGTTCCATGGTCAATGGATCGCCAGCTGGGGGCCTTGGCAAGCATAAGACCGGGTCTGATATGGGGCTTGATCCAAAGCCCGACGCGAACATGGCGATGATTCCTTTCCAGCAGAACATGAGCACCCAAAAGCCCTTTGCCAAGAACACGGCGTTGGATTTTGACTCTCCCCCAAGCAAGCCGGCTAAGCTAATCATCACGGAATCCGAGTTGGGCCCGTCGCCCTCCGAGGTCGCGGCAGCAGTGGCGGCGAAGGAGAGGTACAAGATAAAGGACGTCGAGAGCTCAGCTGTGGACAAGTGGAGCCTGAGTGAGAGCGTGGAAGGGTTGCAGTCCAAGCTCGAGAGGTGGCGCATGGAGCTCCCGACGGTGTGGGACCACGGCGAGCTCCCGAGCTTACATTCGAGCGGCAACAACATCAAGACTAAGTCGAGCAGCCAGCGACACACTCGACGGCACACCGATGGGGGTGGAGGCGTAGGCTTGTTATCCTGTGTGAGTAACATTTGTGGATTGGAATGCTCCATAGTTTGTGGAAGTGATGCACCTCCCTAGGTAAAATTATGGTGACACACACACAAGATGGCTCATAGAGAAAACATGTTTCGAGAATATTATTCCTTCTATTTGAATTAACCTGATGGAGTAGATGGTACACATTTTTACTTGGGTTGGATTTATGTGAATGGATGTGGCCGCCTAGTGAGAAAAGAGGAATAATGACCTGAATCAATATATGATCATGCATCACTAGGGGATGGATATAGATTGGTGGGAATATATGATTTTGAGTTAGTCCCTTGTTCCATCTTAATTTCAACCTTTTGCCAGTTTATATATGTGTAACTCGTTCTAAATCATGCTGAACATTTTGCAATAACTACATAGTATACCATGCGTGCCTTCTTGCTGGGCTTTTCTTATGGGACAATTCATATCAGTGTTATCGAATAGTTATGTTCACTTCCATTTTTAGGTAGAGCAAAGTTTCTCAAACTAAAGTTTTGATTGGTAGATTATAAATATTGATGTCGCCCATATTTATTCTTAATTAAGAGATAGAGGAAAAACAAAGTCCAAAAATATTAGGTATAAGGCATCAGAGGTCCTTGAATTATTGCAAATGGTACAGTATCGTTCCTCAACTTTTGTATGCAATTGAGTCTCCTACCGTGTACTTTCTTTTTTGTTTGAGTTGGTTCTTATGTTAAAAAGGAAACAGAAATATTGACGTGAATTGACACATCAGGGTCACATCAGCTTAACAAATCGATGGTCAAATATATTTTTCTTTGGCCGATTGGATAACATAGTATAAGGTAAAAGAAAACAAATCAAATCCATAGAGAGGGAGAGAGGAGGAGAAAGAGGAGGAGGAGGAGGAGGAGGAGGGGGAGGCCATAGCAGCGCCTGCCCAAGAGTCAAAGCCCTTGCCGGAGAGCGAGAGAGAGAGAGGTGGTAGTGTTGCAGCCACCACCATCGATCCAAACATACACGCTTCCAAAGAGAGAAGTAATGGCGGCTATGCAGCCACCACTCGATCTAGCATCATCGGGGTTGCGTGACCCCAACCGAGCAATTCACCAGGGCCACATGACCTTGATCAAATCCAGCAATGCGTTGCGCGACCCTGGCCAAGCGATGCCTACATTGGCACAACCCGACGGCATTGGGGGAGGGCAATGATGTGCCTCGGCACTGGGACCCCTTCTCTTTATTTTTTTTATTTCTTAAAAGTCATGTGAGACACTGTTGACATTTTTTAGGCGGAATTGTAACGTGGTATGTAACGATAACTTAACGGTCATATTACTATTTCCCTTCATAATTTTGACGAAAGGACTAATTAGAACAAAAAAAAGTGTATAGTTTAAGGTTTTAATTGCAAAAGAAGTGGTTGAGGAATTAAATTGAATATTTTACAGTGATTCAAGGAATTATTTCTAAAGAAATGCTTAGGAATAGCATGTATGGGCGTTGAATGACCACACAATTTTTCGGTATCGTCGAAGTTGCTTATGACAAATTATGAAACCACAAATATGTTGAGGGTAACAAAAAGTCTTTCAAAAATCACGAACTATAGGAGCAAGTGAAGAAAAACGACTTGGTTTTGATCATCAATCAATTGAGAAATTAATATTTTTATTTGATCAATTGAGGGTTTAAGGCTTTAAAAAAGTTACAATCAGGTCATGAGCTCACTATCAGTGGAATTCACTCGGCTATCCATTTCTATTTTGCATTTGCAATTTGCCCAAATTTTTTTATTAAAATATTGTTTGACCCGATTATTTGTTTACTTCATCAATTTAACTCCAAATGTGTTCTTTCAATTGGTTATACACTCATCACTAAATTATTACCATTATACTTCGTCTTATTGCAAGTCCCATTAGAGCTCAATGGGCGGACTGCCCAAGCCCCTCCATCGGGCCACTCTTTTGCAATATCGTTTAATTTCAGCTAAAAATTAGTAAATTTGAAAGTTAATGGAAAATTATTTTAGCATTTGTGGTATTTTGTTTTTCTAGTTTATCTATGTTTCTCTCCTATATTAGAACCTCGGACATAATTGATCTTAATAACGTTTGTAAATTTTGAATATCAAGGTGGAATTAATAATAAAAATTGTATATTCCTTTATTTATAAATATAGGGTTAGGTCGGGCCTTAAAGGCCCTTGCCTAGGCCTTGCCCATTGTCCACTGACCGGGCATGCATTTTTTAGCCCAAGCCTATCCAATGGGCCTAACCTTTCAGCCAATGTTGAGCTATAGGCGCCTGCCTTTTGATCAAGTATACTTAAAGACCATCACATAGATTTGAGATATGATAGTTAGAGGCAACAAATGGGTGGGCCGGACCGGTTTTGGTTGGACTAACTTCGATTTCGACTCTCTTGTTAGGATACATGTCATTTCGGATTACAAAAATTTCAAGTTGAGTCAGATCGAAGTCAAAACAGTTCGAATTGTCTACTTTTGGGTTTAGTTTGTGTCATTACTAGTCTCAAGTGCTGAGTTTTGGATAATTCAAATATGGTCTATTTCAATTTTGATTTCAACAGAAGAGGCAAATGGATGGTTCATATCAGTCTGGATTTGGTTAAATTAGATATTGGGTCATTCGCATACCGAGTCATTTTGATTTATAATATCTTGGAGTAGATTTCTGGCTTGCATGGGCACATCAAGTTTGGGTTCACTTAGGACTCGGTTTCGAGTTCAGTTGGGTTTGATGGTTGAACAACTGGGAATTTTTGGGTTTGGGTTATTTCGGACACAACAAGTCGGATACAGATCGTTTACTTTACTCAATTAACTTGTACTGGATTGGATCTATTTTCGTGTGGGCCACGCCGTTTTTCCAAGTTGAATCTGGCCTTGCCGCCTCTACATGAAATTATGTCCTTCATGAAGTATTTAAAAAACCCGTCGTGTCAAAACTATTGGATCAAATGGTGGCCAGATGTGGTAAAATGGGTCATGGCCCCATATTTTAATTCATATTTAATGGGTGGGGTGATATATGGTTACCTTAAAATATAAAATATATGAGGTAATGGATTCAACAGAGCAAACCGCAAATTAATGGAGGTTCTGTGGGTCTACCAAGAACCCACTTTCAACCCAAAAAGAAAGAAAGAAAGAAAACCTTGCTCGGCGCCTTCCCCTCTAGTGTTCTTTTTTTTTTTCTTTCCCATAGGCTTTGGTATGTTGCTATTAAATATACAACTCTAATTCTGATGGAGTACTAATTTTTCCCTTCATTTTAGGAACAACAACATATGGCCTTTAGCTTTTGTTTCCTACAAAAGGTGGAAGAATTTGGATGTCTTCTCTTTCAGAATAGTTCATTAGTAGAGATTGCTTTCTAGGATGGTGGTGTTTGTCTTTGTTTACAAAAGTAAAGACATCGAGACTTGAGGAGGCAAAATGGATCCGCTAACGCATTTTTCCACTCATATACGTGGAGCTGGATTTAAAATGGGTCACTCCAATTGTACGAATGGGTTAAATTGAGTTGTAACAAACAAAGACCAACTAAAAATGGGTCTAAAATTAATTTGACTCAGATCCATCTTTTAACAAATTTCAATCAAAACAAGAAATAACATCAATGAGAAAGAAAGGCTACGCTTCAATCCTCAAACTTGTGCCTTCTTTTTGTTGACGCCACCTTCTCGCTTGCCACCGCCACCTCTCGCCGCACACCGTGGCCTCCACCTCTCATGATCTTTGTAATTCAATTATTAATAATATTGTTATTTTGCCTTCATCCACAAGTGAAAACAATATTTTCTAATAGGCTTGATGGGCTCTGGGTGGGGCTCGTTAGAAAGGCCTAGTGAAGTCTAGCCCTAATATTTTCTAATAGGTTTGATGCATGCCCGTGTCCTTCTTAAGCCTAGTTACCTTTTAATGGCCCCATGTCCTCATGACATTTGAGGGTGCATCATTTGTCGATCTCAATATAATAAGATTGCCACATGGTAATATCTCGCTCACTTACCATATGAGCCATATCCCTATAAATACCTCACTTGTTATGCATTTCAAGCGGGGACTTATGGACTTTCTGAACATCTGAACTTTGTTAGTCATCATCACAACAAGTGACTCGACATTCTTTGCCTGTTGGTCCACTAGGAGGCATCTCCTCTCACACCTTCTCTATATCATTTAGTTTTTAGTGTTACCCATGCACGACGCTAACCCTTCCTCAAGGCTCAAGAAACACAGAAGCAAACCTCCTTATCAAGAGCTTTCAAAGTTTTCGTGGCGAAGTTTACAATAGAGCAAACTATAGAAGGAAGACAGATTTATAAATCTTATTTCCAAGAGTTTAGAGATAATTATTAAGTTTTCATAAATTGATATTTTTTGGCCAAATGGCAAAGGAAAAAATCGTCACATTTTCACTACTTTTCTAACCAAAAAAAAAAAATCACTACTTTTCAAGATCACCAATTGCTCACATAGCGTGCAATCAAACACCACTTGTGGGGAACAAGCTGATTCAGAGTTCTAATTCTTTTAGACTTTACCTGTATTATTTAGACTTTTTCTTGAAGCTAGGTTTTTGGAGTTTTTTTTTCTATTCTTGGTTCTGGCATCTTATTTGTATGTGTCATGTACTAATTTTGGGTTTGTATTGAATCGACGCGAGCAAAATGGAATGGAAGTCCCACATCGATTATCAAAAGAAAGTCACGAGGGATTGAGTCAGATAAATAGGGAGGGTGAAGCAACACAAAAAAGTGCCTTAAACTAATGAGTAAGGAATACAAAGCGATCAGTGAAAGCTGGTCGCAGCGCCTCATGTGAAACCAGAGTTTCTTGGCGCAAAAATTTGTGAAGGGGTTATAGGCTGGCTGAGCGTTGACGCTGCTTACTTTTGCAGAACTCGCTCATGCAGGCCTCCCAAAAGCCTACCCCAATACATTAGTCCAAACTATTTAAGAGCATGGTTCAGCTGCTTATAATCTCTTAATGGAAAAATAGGGCATGTAAAGAATATTTGATACAATCACCTTTATCCCCTTAATTCAAATACTCTTGATTTAGCGATTAAAACCACCTACACTCTTAAATGTATAGGAATGTTTATGTGAAATCTTTCTTTATTGATTTTTTTCTTCTTCTTTACATTGATAGACTATTTTATAGATGGAACTTTTTTCTTGCTCAGAGCGGTTACTGCGTTTCTTACTGTTATTAACCTCCCTTTAACCTATTTTTCATGGATTAGTGGTAACTCCAGATTAGTGGTAGGATACTAGATAATCTCTATTGTGACATCCTCAAATTTCGATCCTATTCAGGATGTAATGAATGTTTATTTCATCAATGCGCAATGAGTAGAATTAGGTTCTAAATTGATTCTTGAATCATTCAAGGGTACTTTAAGCTTTGGCAAAGGCGAATTAAGACATCGTTGTGCGGGACCAAAGCACTCAATCATGAATTGACAATTCGACCATAAGAATTATTGAAGGACAACCATAAGCCATTTCAAGGCGATCCAGGAATAGATATAGATCGATTCGACAATAGTATAGAATTAGATTGCAAGTGATTTCGCACGATTACTATATTGATTCCGAATGACACTAGACCAATCCCTAATAATCGTATGCTTCAAAACGGGCTATTGACCCCTCATGATTACATGACAATTGAGGGTCATCCATGGATTGAGAATGCTTAAACGTGGATTGATTTGAAATCAACTACGGGTTAAACACACAAAACCCCTAAAAGCCGCCCATTGTTCTAATTATGCGAAAGACTCATTTAAGTGATTTTAACCACAAATTTTAATTTAGTTGAAGGTATTGGACTCTAGAGGATTAAGAGACAATTATTGAAAAAATTCTGGGAATCGCTTATTTATCAGTAAACCGAGAAACTTTGGAAAAATGAAATTGGGGCCTGCAAGGGGCCCACGAAATTCTAAGAGCCCAATGGGCCTCATGGACTATATAGTCGGCCACGAGGGTCCAATGGAAGGGAAATTATGATTTTTTCCTTTTGGGCCCAAATTAAGAAGTTTTGAGAATTTGTGCAAGAAAAGCCCGAGACGAGAAGCCCGCAATGAACTAAGCCCAATGATAGGGCCCAAGGAGGATTTCAGCCCAAGAAGAATGGGCTTAGCCCAAGTTTAAGCCCATTAACTTTTTCAAGCTCATTTCTCTTCAAATTGGGCCCATTCAAGCCCAAGCCCAAGTTTGTTGGCTCAAGCCCAAGCCCATGTGAATAGTGTCAAGGGCTGAAATTACCAAAGTGTCCCTCTCATCTTTCCTTAATTACATTCTTACCCTTCTTGGCTTGTTTTGCAAAATTGATTTCTAGCCATTAGATTTTGGCTTGTTGGGCAAGAAGTGATTTTGGCCCTCCATTTTGGATGTGTCTTGATAGACACTTTCTCTCTCTCTCTCTCTCTCTCTCTCTCTCTCTCTCTCTCTCTCTCTCTCTCTCTCTCTCTCTCTCTCACTACTTCCGGCCACCACTAGCACCGTCCACCGCCATCCAGCACCACCACCGAGCCACTAGCCACACGCCATGACCGCCTGAAGATGTGTGCCGTCCGTCCGGGCCATTTCCGCGGCTGGTTTGCCTTCACCGAAGCAAAACCAGCCCTCACCGGTGCTGTTTTGCTGCTATCCAGCAGTTCATTGTCGTCTCGTGTCGTTTTCGGACCGAGCCACGTGTAGCTCTTGTTGCCGCCGTCATGCCCGTGTCGTTGGAATCGTTTCCGGGTGAGTTAACGCTGTAATCCCTTGATTAGTACGTTAAACTTGCTTAGGATTATATTAGACTAAGTTAATCTTGCTTAGTGCTAATTAATGAGGAATTAGTTGATAAGCTATCGCGATAAGTGATAGGTGGAAGTGATAAGCTATCGCAATAGGTGATAAGTGGACTTGATAGGTTATCAAGAAAATGTGATAAGCTATCGTCAAATGGACGATAAGTTATCGGGAAAAGAATTAATAAGCTATCATCAAAAGGGGTGATAAACTATCGGAAATTTGGTGATAAGCTATCGTCAAATAGGCGATAGGGTATCGAGGAATGGATGATAAATTATCGCGAGGAGAGCGATAAGTTATTGGTTTTTATTTAATGAATTATTACAATTAGGCGATAACTGACAGTGAATTGTGGTGATTCTATGCATGCTTTATGTGCTTTCAAGCTTGTGATGCCTTGAAAAATACTTGCCCATTTTATAAACCTTGTTTATTAATTTTTGGAAGGGTTTTTAAGGACATATAAGTGAAAAACCCCGAGGTGTCGGGTTTGTTTGTCCGATTTTATGAGTTAAATGTGGCTAGGATGTTTAAAAAGGAAATCGTGCAAAGTTTGATGGGTTGATTGTGTGTATGTGATCACGTGTGAATTTATTACTGCATTTTTTATGTATGGAAGTTGTAGTAATTTGTTGTGTGAGCAAGAACCACGTTTGTATTTGGCTAAATGCTGAGATATAAATGAGTTGTGTGTTTGTTGTACTTGTGTGATCACATAAAGGAACTTGTCACCCAACGGGGGTCTGGGGATGCAATGTGTGACATTATGCGAAAAGTGAGTGCAATATGTGACATTGTGCATAAGAGAATAGCATATCATATGCCCTGTTGCATTGGCTAAATTTAAAGATAAAGAATTGGCTTGAGTGGATGGTATGCCTGCATGGTCACATGAAAGTCCGTCTAGACGGGGGTTCTAGACGATGTCCAGCAAGGGTTCGGATGCCGTCTAGTCGGGGGTTCTAGACGATGCCGTATCGCGATTGAGGCCGGACCGATACTCCTTATGGAATACCGTCTGGGCGGGGGTTCCAGACGTTGTCGTGCCCAACGGAGCGGGACGATACCCGGTTATGTCGGAAGACACCGGCGGGAGTTCGGTTGTGACCATGAGTAGTCGTTTAATAATCTAGACTATTATGAGTGCAACATGAATGGATAAATGCACTGTGCCTGAAAGTAATAATTATATGTGTTTGGATTATTAAATTGATATTGTGCCTGTTTATGTACTATAATATGCCTCTGGTTCATGCAATCATGTGATCTTGTTATATGCTCATTGGAGCGATTGCAGAGTTATGATGGTTAGTAGAGGGCCAACCTGATGCGAGTAACGCGGGTTGTGCCGTGGCCCTATGAGGTCGTAGTAATCGGAACTCGCATGAAAGAGTATGTTGTCTTGCGCCTAATTATGAGATAAAATTGTGAGACATGGTATGGGACGGGCCAAAACGGTTTCACTTTATAATCAGGACTCGTGTGGATACCTTGTACATGAGAATTGCTGAACGTATTATGATTGTATTATGTGCTTGTTGTATTATGATTGCACATGTTGGTTATTATGTGCAGGGCGTGTGTGTATGCTAATGCAAGGTAAAAATGTCTGCAATTGTTTAATGGCACGTCTGTTTATGCTGGGCTAGGTAACCTGCTTGTGTTTATAGTTAAGGCAAAGTAAGGGTTGCTTTGCTATTGATCTGTCATCGATAGGTTGTTGCATGTTTGGGATCGCCCGAGGTGAGTTGACTTCCTAACCGAGGCTTAGGTCGTTAACTTACTGAGATTTATCTCACTCCTTGTTGTTAATCATTTTTCAAGTGCTCAGGTATGAGAACGCGTTGCGTTCCATGGGAACCGGTTGTTTTGAGAGGGAACACCTTTTGAGGTTGCTTTCGTAGATAGAGGAACTAGGTTAATCTCCTACTTTTTGTGGTTGTAATCGGGAAGGTCCGCATAGCGGACTTGTAATATGTTAACCCGATGTATTGCTGATGATGCTGTATACATTGAGGTGTGTTTTCCTGACTATCTCTCTTGTTGTGATTGGGTGGATTATGATTGCTTCCGCTTGCGTTTAATTGAAAATTAAAATGAATGGGTCGGCAACGCCTCCTGGGACGTCGCAATTACATGATTAAGGAAGGATGTCCGCGCGCTCGAGCGTCCGGGGTGTGACACCTATCATCTTGGAATAACTTAGAGAAATTGGCTTGATGGGCTCAGGGTGAGGCTTGTTAGGAAGGGCCTAGTGAAGTCTATCCCTAATATTTTCCACTAGGTTTGATGCTGGCCCATGTCCTTCTGAAGTCCGGTTACCTATTAATGACCCCATGTCCTCATGACATTTGAGGGCGCATCATTCGTCGATCTCAATATAATAAGATTGCCACATGGTAATATCTCGCTCACTTACCATATGGGTCATATCCCTATAAATAACTCACTTGTTGTGCATTTCAAATGGGGACTTCTGAACATCTGAACTTTGGTAGTCATCATAACAAGTGACTCGACATTTCTTCCATGTTCCTTGGCATTTGAGTCCACTAGGAGGCTCCTCCTCTCACATCCTCTCTATATCATTTCATTTTTAGTGTTAGTAATGCACAACTCTAACCCTTCCTCAAGGCTGAGGAAACGCAGGAGCAAACCTCCTTCTTAACAATAGCTTTCAGGTTTTGGCTCTTCAGGGCTATGACAATGAGCCTTCTCAAGAAGAAATAATGTTGTTGGACATACCTACAACTGCTGACACTGGGACCGAGAATTGAAATGGAGGAAAGCCAAACAAGGGAAAGAGGAATGAAGAAAAATTAGTACAGACGATGCATAATTTCAAACCCTAACCCAATGCAAAAACAAAACAAAGATGATAGTGCGAGATCTAGGGTTCACAAAGGGAGAAAAAAAAATTTATCGAATCAAAAACAAATCTGCACGGCTGGGGATAGGATCTAAGCACAACATCAGCTCCCGACCCCACCAAGAACGTAGAGAGAGAGTGAGAGGCTGGCTAGCCTCATCTGCCCGGAGTCCATCCCTCCATCTAAGGAACTAAGACTAACGCAATAAATAAGACTAAAGCCATTATATTAAATTTAAAAA